TCGTTGTTCTTTGCTTCCTGTGGCAGCGAAAAGGTCCGTTTCAATTGTAAGCCGAAACCTCGGGAATTCGAACTACGTATTCGGTAGATAAGCACACTGCGGCCATATAGCGCCGCAGTGTGTTTCGCAAGAGAAAAGAAACAGTACAAGGTTCACGGCATTCGATGCATGAAAAATGATACTGATAGTTTGAACAGCCGCTGTGGCTGCGCCTGTGAGCGCAACATAAATGTTGTTGCGGGCCGAAACCCAGCCGCAGTGTTCGTATCCTTACGACGGCTTAGTCAAATGGGAGCGGCCGTATATCGTACGTGTTTTCGTATGCGTGTCATAACATCTAGCGGGATTTAATCCCAGCTGCGGCGGCTGCATTATCGATGACGGCAAAAATGCTGTAGGCCCGTGCGCTCAGATTTGGGTGCACGTTAAAGAACCCCCAGGTGGACTAAATTTCGGGAACTCTCCACTACGGCGTCTCTCATAATGATATGGCTGGTTCTGAAACATTAAACCCCACATATCGGTCAACCATGCGTCATAATATTGGAATTTTGCGTGTGCCAAAACCACTACAGTCTGACTATATACATGAACGGAATTATCGGTATCACGCATGGTAGCCTTTTGCGGCATTTATATTCTGTCGAGAATGTACGAAAGGTTACTAATGTTGCTTTTTTAAAGACGATTGTCTTTTTGGAATACTTCAACACAATACCTTTGGTCTGCCTGTTTTTGCTCTTTTTTTTGTCTCCCTGTCAGTCGATTCAGTACTCGGTTAAAGTTCGACCTTTTGCTCAACGCTCACCACACTATAAACTTGGCGGCTGCGTTCATACTTGTAAAAATTGTCAATCAAGCAAGGAAATATTGCGCATGCTTGAGGCGCAACATCAATACACGAGCCTTAGGCGAGGTTTTTTTTTATTTCGAACGTTCATAGATACGTGATTCTAAAGGCCGCCATGTTTATTACGCTGCACCAACGCCTCCTAAAAAAATTATGCCTGGAGCGTGAGCCGCGAACGTGCTGCCCTGCCCTCTGATTTTACCCTCCTCCTTCGGTACGAAGGCAAGCGTCTCCGATGGCCGCCCTTTGCGAACAAAACAATGCTCTCACAGTTGCATCCGAGCAGGACGTGACGTCACGTGACAGAACGGTACGCTAATGCCACGTGACTGAGCGGTACGGAGGCGAGCGTTCTCACACGGCGGCCGGTCGCAACACAAGGCAGGAGGCATGGCATCCGAGATTGTGTGCTGGCAGGAGGCTTCCAATTGAAAAGTGACCGACGTTCCAGGCATAGTTTTTCTAGGAGGCGTTCCCTGCACTGACAATGCGACGCTAAACGTAAAAGTGGGCGTTTCCTATGCTTTGCTGAAACGGCATGGTGCTGTCACCTACCAGCCGTTCTGCGTTCTAATGATGTGGATGCCCGATGGTATCCACATCTCACGCCTTGTAGAGAGAGAAAGAGAAATGCAAAGGAAAAGCAGGGAGATTAACCAGGTTGTATCCGGTAGTGCATGGTAGAGTGCTCAATGCACTCGTTCACATCCGCTCACGCATGAAAGCACTCTAACGCATGCAGCGCTTCCAGACTATCATCTTTCAACGTCCTTTGTAGTGAAGATTACATATACGGGGGCAAATTTCTCATACGACACATTCGCCATCGAGCAGTGCGTGAAATAAAGCGTCTTCTCTTTTTCACCGGGCAGTTGCAGCAAACAACGTATGCACAGTCACGGTTGATTGGGGTACTTGTAAGTAACGGTTAACACAAACACGTTCTCTTTTTCTCTTGTATCTTCACCGGTGCGCCTTTATGCTAGCATGATCTTGGTTTAGGTGCTTGGTCTGAAACTGCAGCAACCGTTTGACAACCCCCCCCCCCCCCAAATGATGCATGATTTTTTTCTCTAGTTATGACTCACGGATGCTATTCGTCTTGCGAATTTCGTGCTCGTTCTTCAGTTGAACATTGTTGTACCTAGCAATTTTATTCTCAGAGAAGAATATGAAAGTCACAGGATGCCTATACAGGGACTAGGGGCGTTGCGTAGAGGCAGTGATCAAATTAAGATGCCGTGACCTGTTATCAAATGTACATTTTTATTCGGACAACAAAAAAGCACGGTCCAAACTATTAAAGACAGTTCCTGTGCAACAAATCGTATTATTCGTGTGATGAAGAGATGCCTTCCTGACGGACCCACTTATCACCCATATTTCTAACATGGAAGGCCTCCGTTGATTCTCCGTTACTTTGTTGTTTTACTTTCGACCAAACGCAAGATAATATATTTCCTCTTTGCTAAGCGTTATCGGGACGGCTCGTTTATGCAACCGCGCACCGCCGCGGTGGTCTAGTGGCTAGGGTACTCGGCTGCTGACCCGCAGGTCGCGGGATCGAATCCCAGTTTGCGGCGGCTGCGTTTTCAATAGAGGTGGAAATACTGTAGGCCCGTGTGCTCAGATTTGGGTGCCCGTTACAGAACTCCAGGTGGTAGAAATTTCCGTAGCCCTCCACTATACGGCGTCTCTCATAAAAATTGTGGGTTTGGGACGTTAAACCCCTCATATCAATCAATCGTTTATGCAACCACGGCTCCTTCGGTTGGTAGCGAAGACCTCAGCTATTAGGCAGCTGTGCATGCTGGGTACATTTTTACATCTCGCGTTGCTAATAATAGTGGAGAGGGTCTTCAACCCCCTCCACCAAAGTTTCTAAACTTGGCACGTGTAAATACTGCCATTTGCATGTAGTAGTGGGTCATGTACAAAAGCAAAAGCATATGCCAATAATAAAATAAAGAAATCCGCATGTGACTCCGCTCTGGTGAGCAAGCTCAAGCAATGCGTATGGTAAGAGTCATATTGCTCAGCCTTCAGTAAATCTTGTCTGCACCTCTGGAGCGACGTAACAACTGGTAGAGGTGCGGGGTATCCTCTCACAGATGTTTTAGAACCCTCCTGGAAGCCCCACCATAAGCCCAGTGTGAGTCAGCACTCCCGTTCATTGGACCAGCCGCGCGATCATGGGATTATGGGATACGCTCACACCTATATATGGGCACACGGTCACACACAGGGTATGGTTGAACTACTCCGGCAGAAGATGTCTGGCTACGGTACTGCTTCCTAACCACGTTTGATATCCGAAGGTTGTTGTGCGCCCACACGCGATGCAGGAAAGTGTCATGGTGCTGCCCGGTTTAAGACGGTGATTATCGTTATGTTCCAACGAGTCGCTTGTTCAGACAAACGACTCACTGTTCAGTACGAGTACTCCTGTCGGAGAGTGGATGCTCATACGTGACGTTTGTCGTACAGCTGTCATTTTAGAACCGAAGCTATTTAGCGTGCTCTTTGGGCTAGCACGATATCCCTCGTCTTCGTCGTAGGTCAATTATGTAGGTTCCCATCGGCCGTCGGAACAGCTGCGGCGCTCCTCCGCAACCCTCTCTGAGCAAGCATATCGACAGAGTTCATATCGTTGTGCTGCACCATTCGTGAAGGGCACGCAGCGTGCATACCGACCGCGTGCAGGTGTTGCGTCGACGCTGCGCCGCTCTTACCTAGAGCACGCATGCAAAGCGTGTACAGCCCGTTGTATTACTCGAAAGCCGCTCGCATACACTTATTAAACGGGCCCTAACAGCACTTTTTGAGCATGGTCAGAAAAGGCTGCACATTGGTAGTCGATGGGCTCCCTAAAACACGCGAGCCAAGTAATGCAGCGCAGCGCGCAGCATGGAATTCACAAGAAATTCTCAGTCGGCTAAATTTTACTCTCACCTCTCTCGACAAATGATGCTACAAGCTCAAAATTCAATCGTCACTGCCACGGTATCAGCAATTTGCTGATTTGAGCATGGCGTGCACGGTCGTTACTAGGGCGGCCGCGGAAGGCCGCGACTTGGTCCATGCGTGCGCGTGCGATTGCACTGAAAAGCCACGTATTCCAAAAAAAGAGAGAGAAGGTCTCAAGGTCATGAAGTGCGCGCGTCGTATTTTCTTTTCCCAGGTCATCCCTCTCTGCTTAGCCTCCAGCGTTCCCGTCGCGACGAGAGAATGTAAATGCAGAGCGCAACAAATATTTGTAACGTGATCAATAAGCATCAATAAGTGGCGCTACACTAAGTAGAATAAAATGGCGTAGACTGGCTTCCAAAGACCCCCTCCCGCCCCTTTCGCTCCATCATGAGCATTCGCTTCGTGAATCTGCAGAAACTACTATGACAGAAAACATGCGACCGCGTCGCAAGCAGCCTCGCACCACACATGCAACGCAGTGCAGTGACCAAATGTGAAAATAGAAGGCGATAGTGATGCCATTCCGCCAGTTTCTCGCACCCATTCTTGCACTTTTCCTTCGCCTGATTTTTTTTTCTTTCTTGCTTTATGTCGCTGTGGAATAAGAAGGGATTGAACAATTCTTATTGAAAGTAATTGTTCGCCGAAGGCACCTAACAGAAGTTAGATACCAAAAGGAAAAGGTAAGATAATGACACTTTCGTGATGGGTGTTAAGACAGTGAAAGAGACACCACCCTCACCTACAATTTTAGTATTTTGCCACTGCGCCCCGCTACAAGTGAACTACATGGCTATCTACCACACGCTCATGTGTTTCATAAAAATGGCAGCTGTACTGTGCATGAACGCTCTTTAATTTTTGGTTATACACGGTGGCTTCTTATGTACGTCTTGATTGAAGCGCCTGCAAAGTTTTCCCACCCTATTAAGTGCGTGAAACGAACTTGTAATTCAAACTTCTAGGTAATAATAATAATAATAATAATAATAATAATGTCTGATGTTTTATGGCCGAAAACCAAATTATGATTATGAGAGACATCGTAGAGGAGGGCTGCGAAAATTATGACTATCTAGTGTTCTTTCAAGTGCGCTTACATCGAGATTTCTGGACAATTGTCTTGATCATATGTGAAATATTATTTCTGGGTATCACGCTCTTTACATAATCGCCTCACCTGCGTTCCGTCTTCGTGGCGTCTCCTTGAAGAAGGCGAACTTGGTGTCCGTCGTGACTTCTTAAGGCGCTTTTAGCCTTAGATGTCTCCTGATCGAACGCGAGAAGAGAACGGCTGCGCGGATGCCAGCATGAGCGATGCAGAAAGAGCAGGTTGATCCCTCTGTCAGAAGAACTGGAATAACAGGAAAGTGAAATGTGCCTTGAAAGAAGTAGTTGAATGTTTATTAGGTATCTAGAATAGCATGCATATTGCATTGGCATCCTCTGACACGTATGGGCCCACATTGACTTGGTGACACAATTCCATGTCAATGCCTAACGTCGGCGACAACAACCACTACCCGTGGCGTGGCCGTTTTATCACTTATCCTTGCTCCATTAATCTGCATTTTTCAAGAAATTTATGCGAAAGAACATGTCGTATTTCTCGCGCAGCGCCATGTTGGCGGGCGGCGTCCTAATGGTAGCTTGCTTTGGCACAGTCAAAGGGACACCAAATTCAAATAACAATTTATGTCATAGTGAAAGAGCAGTGTATGACAACGTCTAAAACGACAATATTATCCGCAGCAGCGCCTTACTTAGCGAGCAATTAATGTAAATGCATGAGAACACATGCGCCAAGAGTAGGGCATCTGCAAAATGATCACCATGACGTCAGAGTCACCGCCTACAACTAACCACAAGTAATTGAACTAGTTCCACTAAATAAAGAACATTCCATGCATCAAGAGACGTAATAAAATGCTGCTTGTTCGTTTCTGTTTGATTCGTGTAGAAATCAGCCACTGGACGTTACTATGGGAAATGAAGTTAGTGTTTCAAAAATTCAATGTTCTCATGGCTAAATTGGACACGTCGTGCCATCTAGAGGGGCCACGTTGAACCAAGCACGCCTTCTATCTCGAATGTCATGGCAGGAAATTGTTCAATTCTCATTGTTGTTGCTGTAGCTCCCGCTACTTTCGCTCAGCTGCTACTAAGGTCGGCGAACACGAAGTCAAGCCGGGCAACATTGTGCACTGCAACAGTGGCGTGAAAGTTTCAACTTTCAGCGGGTAATTTGGAGTAATTTTTGTTTTCTTCAACATAAGCCCTTCTTTAGCACGAAAGTGGCACTACAAGGTTTCTGGACCGCTATTTCAACGCGCTCAGCTTCAGGAACGTGAAAGCCATAAGGAGTTTCACAAGGCCTCACAGATGACAGCACATTATCTAGCGTTTACTGTTTGCTTGATCAACTCCTTTGCAGAGGCATGATATGTTTTCCGCTAGATGGACATAGTTGTCCATTTTTAGAGCTGTCTGAAAGTTTCTGTGTGTTTTTAGCGGCGATTTGACGGCCTTCCTACAACTTTCCGAATGATCTCGTTTTCTTCGTGACACCTGTCGAACAAAATGCGTTAGGGAGACTCCTTCCGCTACATGACATTTCTGTATTGCTTTAAAGACAATAGTGTTTCTTGGGGACCTTCGACGGAAAAAATTTGGTCTGTCTGTGTATTTGGGTGTTTAGAAAAGTTAGTTAATGATTTAGAGTACCAGGAACTTTACTATGGGAGACCATGAAGCCGTCCCTTAGGCCTCCTGCGCGAACTAAGCGTTCAGAGAGGCAATATACTTTTGTAGACGTCACCGCAGCGACGTCTTCCACCCTTAACGGCACCGGAGTGGCCGGCCGATACCCAAACGGCCGACCCTATCCGCAGCGCCCACCAATATTTCTCAAGGTTTAGCGTTCATATTTGTGCGATTGTCAATTAAAAAGCAAATATTGCGCATATCTGAGGCACCATAACAACACGTCAATATTTTGAATGTATATCTTTTACTAGACAAGGCATACATCAGCAATTATAAGGACGGTAGCGTTAATCACGCTGCGCTCAACATGCAACGCTTGTACGAAAGGCAAGTGTTTCCAACGCTTTGCTAAGACGACATGGTGGTGGCAACTACCCGTCGCCTTGCGTTCTGCACCTTATCACCTCCGAGACGGGCGCGCACGCCACGAGTGCGCTTCGTTTTCCAAGATAATTGCCAGATGGCGCTCATGTCTGACGTGTGACGTGACTTGATGCACTCGTCCGCCTCCGCTGCACGCTCGAGGCACCCCAACTCAGCGCCTCCAGAATACCATTCACCAATTTTCTTGCGCAGAACATCAAATAAGCGTTTTATTCATTCTCTCCAGACGCAAGACCATCGTCTTTCGACAACATTTGCAGTGTAACATGCAGATACGGGGCCAATTTTTCTTTTCCGAAGCAGCTGCAAGTAACACCTTAACTTCAATAAAGAAAAAAAAAGTAACACCTTAACTTATTGGTAGGACACCTGCTTGTCACGCAAACGGCCCGGGTTCGATCCTCAACGGGACCAGAAGTTTTATTCTTTATTGTATTTGCTTCTTTCTCAATTTTTCGCTCACGGCCGATTTTTCGCTCACAACCAACTGTGTCGACGCCGATGGCGGTATTTCTGCGACACGAGCTCTCTAACGCTATCGCGTTAATATTATTATAGTCGTCAACCAAGAAGTTGTGGGCTCAACTCCCACAAAGTAGAACTTTTTTGAGAGATTTTTTTTTTGCCATATTTTTGAACTCATTTCATTGACATCATTCCCGTGGCGGGAATGCAGTATGTGTAAAGTGGTCGTGACAACCTCGCATAAATACTTTTGAGTCAGGGGTTATGATGTGATGACGTCACCCAACGACATCATTTGGAGTAACACGTCACCAACATTTGTGACCTCATCATATGAGATCGTCATTTGGTTAAAGGCGGGTGATACAGAGGCACTGCAGAACCACGTTTGGTCAGAGAGCTTTAGACGTTCGATCACGTCCGCGGTAGTCGCATTTTGGCGAAGGCGAAATGCTGAAGTAACGTGTATCGTGTGACGCCACCGCACGATTAAAGAACACCAGGGGTTCTAAATTTAAGGAGCCCTCCACAACAGCTTCTATCGTAATCGTATTACTGATTTAGGACGTAAAACTCCAAACATTGTTGCTATACGAAAGCTTTCACATGCATTAGCGGAATGCGGAAGGGTAGGAAGGTATCAGTAAACCAAATGCGAAAAAAAAACTGGCAGCCGATCCACGAAGTGAATGCTGATGATGGAGCGAAGCTACGTCCCAGGGTTCATAATGTGTACGTTGAAGTCGCTGACTAGTACAGAGAACGACAGATGGGCGGAAGAACGCACGGACAAATACACAGATGGAAGCATGGACGCACGCATGGATGAACGAATGGATCCACGGAGGCAAGGACAGATGCATGTACGGACGCTGACGGATGCATGGACCAATGAACAGGTGCAGGGACGGACGAACAGATGCACGGACGAAATACTGTCTACATTAAACCTATATGCGTGCAATGAACACTCTATGAACGATATATGTAACACCCATGTTTCAGTCCGACGGAAAGCTACGACGATGACGGCGTCAACAGGCATCGTGCGAGCCTAATTAGCTTCGCTCCTAAAAAGGAGATGGCTGTCGCCGTCCAGTCGTCCTAGGGAAATCAATGGAAGTACTTACCTTTTTTTTCAATTTTGGCAAGCTTTGAAACGCAATTTGTGTCTTTTAGGACTCTTCGGTATCAGCAGCAGTTTTTGATATTTGTGACTATCAGTTATCCCGAACGTTGGGCGTGGTGATTGTCACTAGGTGAAGATAATGTTCATGCGAGATAATGTTCATGCTCTGATAACTTGTAAATAGGGTTCGCGATAAAGTATCCACGAAAAAGAAAAATGCTGTGCATTACCTCATTGGTGAGGAAGCTGAACAACCAGATGAAACTTGTTTTTTTACGAAAATTGCCTCAAATCCAAATGCAGGCTCTTTTGCAGGAGCCGCCTTTTTTTCTCCCTCTGGATCTCATTACGGTGAAGTTGGTAATCCCAGTTTCCGCCGATGACGACAACAGCAACTGTCCCTGCGTGTCTTCGATCACGAAAATGAAGGTTGTCACTGCCATGGAATAGACGGAAGCGCACAACACAAACCGAATTTCGAACTCGTCACCAATGCGTGGTGATCGATGCTCGCGATGGCTGTTAGCGACATGCCACTAGTATTATCCGTTCTGAAGGCTTCTTTTTGCTTATACGGAACGTATTCAAAGTATAAGGGACGCCCCAAGTATACTTGCTGTGTGACTACGAACTAACGAGGACGAGATGCTATTACATAATATGGCTTGCTGGACACAAAATGAAAAGCGCAAAATGAAGCCTGTAGACCTCCTCCCACAACCATGCAATTTAGTATTCTGGCAAGAATCACCCATTCAAGGAATCATTTATGAGATGTGTTGGCCTTTTTCACCTCACACTATTCGCTGCGGAACCAACTGCTTCCAAGGGCGCCGTATACAAACCTCTACAATCATTTATGGCTGCAATTAAGCAGATAAAAAGAAACTGAACTAGCTCCCTTTGTCATCATTTTTACGACGAGACGCACTTTCCACAAAAAACATCGTGTCATTTATATTTGTTCATGACGGCCTGTTTTTTTTTTGTTTGATTTTTCTTGCTTTCTTCGTGTCACTTAGATGTTTTTTTTTCACGGCCGAATGTGAGCATCGTTGGCACGCGGGTATTTTGCTGTTCTTTTATATTATCTACCGCTATTTTGGTGTTATTTTATATTCCCCACCTCCATTTTGCTGTTATTTTATATTTTCCCACCTCTATTTTGCTGTTCTTTTATATGCACCTCTATTTTGCTGCTCTTTTATATTCCCGGCCCTCTTTTTGAACAGTGAGCAGGGACGTCATCATCAATGCAAGCACACATTTGAAATGTTTATTGTTGAACACGGCGAGCGAACTTGTAGTTAGTATCGGCTAGTGTCAGTTGATAATGTTTAAGTATGGCTAAGTGAGACTAAGTAATGGCGGATTCCTACAAGTGTTGGCAAACGCTCGGTATACGTGATTGTGTCACTTATCCATATAAGGTCTAAGATAATCGTCCTTTAACTGTTTTTTGCCGTCCTGACATGTCACGCATATCAATCTCTAATAAAAGATGCGAACTGTCTGTCAGCTAATGGAACTCTCACCGTAGATTTGTCGCTCTTGAAAGGGAGTAAGCATATCTCTCTTTAAAAACTGTCGCACATTTGGCGAGTCGGTAT